ATCATTATCAATACCATTACCAGTAATGTCATTATCAGCTTTACAAAGTTTAAATAGTAATACTCAAGAGGATTATTGTGTTTATGGTATTACTTACTTAATTTTTTTATATTGTCAACTACATAAATGATTAGACTCAATTACAATGCAAAATACAAAGTGAATTACTAAAGAGGTAATATTAATGATGACGAAAATGTTAATGACAAAATAGATAAAAGCAAACAAACATCAAATTCATTTGAATAAGAAGTAAACTTTGTTTAAAAGATCAAAAAGAAAAGAAAAGAAAGGAAGGAAGGAAAGAAAAGAAAGAAAGAAAGAGAAAATGAAGGCGGATATATTAACTTTGATTTGTAGTCAGCTCTTTCTATATTGCAACAACTTCAACTACTTTGAGTGCTTTCTTTACTTAAATAGATGAGACAATGAGAAAAGAAAAAAACTCTAATCAAATGTATGTAATTGAAGAAATGGTGTCAATTAACTATAAATAATTAATGAAATGAACTGAGTAGGAAAAAAAAGTTTGTTACAGTGTTACAATATTACTGTGTCATAACTATATGGTTTCTTGATAACGTCAAAAGACAATTAGTGATTATGGAAATTGTTTTTGTTTTTCTCATTATATATACATAATTTTGTCTCAGGTAATATTAATATTATTGCATTCGAATATGAATGTAATCAAAATATGATGGAACTATCTCATTGTATCCAAGATAAGTTAAACTTGAACATAAGTAACTTAAATAGTCTTTACACAATTATATTATGATGTGTGCTACTGATGTTGACAGATGTAACTAGTATGTATTATCAGTCGAAAGTGAAATGCCTGGAGGCAAAATGTTAAGATCAAAGAAAAGAAAACAAAAACAAAGAATGATCGGTGTGGAGTTAAAAGTACAATGAAGCCTGGGATGATTGATTGACATTTTGCAGAAGGAACAGTCAAGTTTGAGACAATTGATTGATATTTTTCAAATGAAGTATTTACTGTATGGTTCTCAGATTTTACTAAGATATTCTGTAAGTTCGTTTTGAAATACATTCAATTATCCTCATTTGTGCTCTCGTTCACTATGATCTTATTATACTATTCATTAAATAGTTAATCGTCAAAAATATCCCGTATTCTATTAGTGGTAAGGCGATATGGATATTTTCTATCATGACTTGGATGTAGTAAAGAATAATATACTTTCAATCGAATCTAAATATTCAGAACTAAATAAATTTGAAGGCTTATACTGTCCTCAAATAACATTTCAGAAAATATTTGTTCTTTGTTTCCGCATAATACCAATCTATATTGGGATGCAATCCTCAGAATACTTTAATTCAGAGGGGGATTTGTGGAGATTTCAGTATTTTTCAAAGTTGAAATCATGAGTCAATTAAAGCTAGACCACCATCGAAAACCTGGAAGCACTGGACGGCCGTTTCGTCCTATTATGGGACTCCTCAGCAGTGCGCATCCACGAACCAGTCGTAATTTTAATTTCTTGAATTAGAATAAAAATTGATGAATCACTAGATCAAGAAATAATTATAATTTTGAGATGGTGAAGATTATTTGTAGCTCAGGTGGATGATTTTAACTTAGTTTTGTTCTCTGAGCTGTATGGTTTAGTTGTGGAACTTTCATCATTCTTCTGAACAATATCATCAGCATGTCTATCTGAAGTGTGTGCTGATGATTTCGTTCAAGAGAATAATGAAAGCTCCACAACTAAACCATACAGCTCAGAGAACAAAACTCCATAAACATAATTTATTAAGAACTAAAAAAATCTTTTGTTAAACAAAAATTCACTTGTTAAAGTATTTCAATGAAATCGATTGTATTTTCTGACTTTTTCAAAATAAGTAGTACACAACAACAAAACCAACAAACTAATTCATTAATTACTTCAATGACAAATAACATAAAAAATATTTTTCTCAAGTCTAATTATATTTTTTATCTATTTAATCTTAATCTCATAGTAACATGCCTTTTCTCGGATTTTTCGACTACTATTTAAAGAAGTTGTTCTTTCAAAGTTGAAATCATGAGTCAATTGAAGCTAGACCACCATCGAAAACGTGAAAGCATTGGACGGCCGATTCATCCTATTATGGGACTCCTTAGCAGTGCGCACCCACGATCCCGCACTCGCGAGATTCGAACCCAGAACCTACCAGTTACGAGCCAGAGCCCAAAGTTGTTCTTATTATTATTGCTGTTAATTTATATTTGTATTGTTTGTTTGAATCATTCCATTGATGTTTAGGATTGCAATCGATCAGTCTCTTATTGGTATATATACACCCTATAAGAATCGACTTCATATTATCATATGTCTCGGGGTGAACATCAACTCTGGAATGTAGATACATCCATCTGATGAATCCCAATTGGAATGAGACGCTCATCCTATATTCTATTGCTAGTCACCATCCATCTTTGCTTACAAATCTTGTGACTTCAGGTAATATCGAGGCAATGCGCACAGGATGCACATATGCCAACAAGAGACTGATCAATTGCAGTCCGAAATATCAATGGGAAGATATAAGTAAACAACACCAAGTGAATTTAAACTTCACCCCATTGCGCAAGCAGGTAGCTATCAGGACTCAGTATCTAAACGCATAACGCGATGGCTTTGAAAGTGAACGGTATTGCATTCGAGTACCAGAGTGAACACCAACTCAAGGATTAAGGTACGACAGGCTGACGAGTCCTAAATAGAACGAAACGCGTGTATTGCATTCCACTGCTAGACACCATCCATCTTTGTTCATAAAATAAGTGTTTAATTGTCATCTTAAATCCCAACAATGACAAACTTTTTAGTATCATCAATATCTTTTTTTCTAGTTCCGAATGTAATGTGAACATGTAACTGAACACCAAGCATATTGAAATAAATTTTCAATTATTCATTTAAACTAATATTATTTTAAGAGAAAAATTTAACTTGATGAAATGTTTTATTTTTTGAATGACCTATCCGAATGATAATGTAATACTCTAAGCCAATGTGTTCATCAGATAGCTATTTAATATTCAAATACACAAAAATATTATTCAATCAAAAACAAAACGGATTTTCTGCTTGAGTGGAATCAACAATTATCAGATTTTCACGGCTGAAATGACGAATCGATCTGAGCTAGATCATCACTGAAAACTTGAAAGCACTGGACGATCGTTTCATCCTAGTATGAGACTTCTCAGTAGTTCACATCCATGATCCCATAAGTGAGACTTGATTATTCTCATTTTACTCGTACTCTAAATATAACTATGATTATGAAAACTAGTAGACTGATGACTTTGTGAAATAATGGTAGTAAACTATAAATATATTACTAAGATTACTACTAATAGTTCCAAAAACATCAGTAATTTGTATTTTAGCTATCAGATTAAAGAATATTACTTATTATACTTCCTTATCATGGTAATAGTCAATTAATAAACTTATGGAAATAGATTATTAGTCTAGTTTGATATACACTATAGTATAGTTATTTATTTATCGTGGATGCGCACTGCTGAGGAGTCCCACAATAGGACGAAATAGCCGTCAAGCAGTGCTTCCAGGTTTTCCATGGTGGTCTAGCTTCAATTGACTTATGATTTCAACTATGCAAATACTGAAATCTCCACAAAACCCCTTCTGATATTTATTTATTGTTAATTTTTACAAGAAAGTTCAACTTCTTCAATCAAAGTAACATAACAAAGAAATAAGATTGAACATTATATTAGTGTACATTGGTTCAAGTTATCAATACTAGTCTATATTCAAACTATATTTTCATTTAATATTATAGTGATAGATGTCATTGGTTATATTTCTATGTATGACTTAAAATGTTTAGCCAAAATTAATTATGGTTGAACTTTAATATTAATGAACAAATGTATAAAGTGAAAATAAATATATTATAATCTTAATAAAGAGTTTTTGTAAAGAGTGCCAAATTTTATAATTTACAACAAGGAATAATATTATTTAGAGAGGTATTAAGAGATAGGCTACATTGAATAGCTATTTTGTCTCAATGTGAGACTAACCAAAAATGTACTTTCACTATCCTAACAGAGATCAAATCAGGGACTCTTAGGTCTTGTGTCGAATGAACAACTTTTAGGTGACTGAGCTGATAACCAAAGGTTTACATACTTCAGTTAGTTCACAAATTTGCCTAACTATCTATCAATGCCATTGTTACGTAAATGCCTAACACACGATATGAGTGAACTCTACTGGTCATTCCACGTAATCAGTGGAAGGATGATAACCAATAAGGACTAGACAATAATTTCAGTAGTTAATATTCCCAGATTAATTAATATAATTGATGATATTTCTTCTTTGATCAGAATAAAATACCGATTTCAACAGATCAGATTGCATAGAAAAATAATTAAGTGAATTTTGTAATTTCTAAGTAATTGAACATTTACTCTATTAACATTAATAAAAACCCAACTTTCAACTATATTCCCTCATACATACATACATACATATATGACATTGATCACCAAACAGTGATCAATCAACTGTAAATACATATCAGTCTTATAGGAGGTTAGTCGCGGCCCGGATAGCTCAGTAGTAACGTCTCTGACTGTGAAGTTGGGTAAAATGGGATCGAATCCGTCAGGGAGCATCGGTTCCCTCAAAATTACAGGTACACCTTTGCTACCGAGTACCAAGTAGCAAGAAGCCTGTCTCCAAGATTTTCTACTGACTACCTTCAACCAGCATCATATCTCAACATAGTGAACACAATGTCGAGTCAGCTAGACTGGTAGCCATAATGCAACTTGATCAATGCGATTCGATCTACACTAAGAAGGACCTGACATACATAACATTGATGACTACCCAAAATGAATATATATATATATATATATATATATATATCCGTCCCCAAGATATATTAACATTAGTAAGTAAACATTCTATAATAATAAATTAACAACAACTTACTTCATAAAGTCCATATGGTATAACAAGCCATAAATGTTTCCATTCTTCACGAAATCTTCGTCTACGATCTTTTTCACGCCATGTTAAATATTTATAAGCTGCACGACAATCAGTAGTTTTTTTTATTACATTATTATTATTATTATTAGTAGTAGTAGTAGTAGTAGTAGTAGTACTAGTAGTACTAGTAGTAGTAGTATCAGTAGTATAAATTTTATTCTCATTATTATTTTCATTTATAATATTATTAGATATTGAATAATCTATTGTAGTAATTATTGTTGATATATTATTGATTATTTCATGATTATTGATTTGAATATTTTTATTGATTTTTGATTTTTTTCTTGTTATTGAATTAGTTTTTTTATATTTATTTTTAGTAAATAAATAATTTTCCTTAGAGATACCATTTGTAATTAATTGATTATTATTATTAAATTGAGTAATAACATTACAATTATTATTATTACTATTACTATTATTATCATTACTATTATTATTACTAATATTATTATTATTATCATTACTGTTATCAGAGTTACTAATTATAGAATGATTTAAATCAATATTTTTTATATTTTCTGTTTTTAATTGTTTCCCATTATATTTTCTAGATAAATTTGAAATATTTTTAGAATATTTACGTTTTAATAATTGTCCATTATTAATTATTGTATTCATAGGAGAATCTATTGAAGTTGTTGTATTCTTCAAAAGAAAGGATGATTGAGAATTATCTTGATTTTGTTGGTTAATTGAAGAATGAATATAATTTGATTGTAACTGTATATGTGATCGATTGAATGTCATTATAGGATCTTTGAGATTATCCATTGAAGAATGTATAGAATAGTCAAGTGGATCACTAGTTGTGTTGTTATATGTATTAATAGTTTTTAATGATTGAAATATATTTGAACCATTATATAAGTATTCACTTAGTGATGAACTAGATTGATCATGAATTGAGATTGGACACAAATTATTTGTATTAGATGAAATTGGTTTGTAATATTCTGTTGTATAATTACTGCTTGTATCAGATATAATAGAAGTGTTACAACTAGATGTCCATGTATAGTCATGATTATTTAGTGTTGACCAATTAGTTTCGTGATTTTGCATTTTCAAATCTATTGACTCAGTTGATAATATTGATGATGGCTTATAAACATCATGATTTGTAGACATTTTTGTTATTCAATGATGCAAGACTTGTGAAAATAGAGTAGTTTGTCCTTTTGCAATCTTCTAGTATACGTTCTAAACAGAAAAAAACACATGGTAATGTTGTCAGTGATCAAACGTATTTAAAAATCATGAAAAATCAGGACATTAAGTAAGAATTCTTGTCATTGTAGTTTCTTTGTCTTTTAATCTATAAGTACAACGGGATGCATATATCACTTCTTGATAATAATAATAATCGGACAAGTAACTAATTCAGAGTTCCCATCACTACTTTTCATAATTAAAACTTTCTCAATCATTTCCTATAAATGAATTATCCGGTAGAGTATTGATGTTTGTAATTTTCAATTATTGGAATTCAGAACTGTAATTGATTAATCACTATTGTTGTATGTAAATGCTTAGTAGATTGTTTGAATACAGCATTACGTAACAATTTTTTAAAAGTTTATTCCAGGACGGTCGTCTGGGATAGTGTATTGAAGTTACAAAAACTTTCATTGTAGAATAAAATACACGATATTGTACATTCAATTGTATTGCTTGTACATTGTGTTGTGCACTATATATATTGTACACCATCCAATTCATCTAATCTATGTGTAATACTATTATCAATAAGATTTTGTTTACTTTAATTTAGGTGTTAGGTAAACGACTACCCACGTCAGCCGAAATTGAATAATGTGAATCTTTAAATTTTGTATGATTATCTTAGATAATTTAAATAAATGACCTCTTAGATCTAAGAAAAGAAATGTAAACAAACATATTAAATAGTGTTTCATGTGTCATTTTCTTTTGTCTACTTTATACATAAATAGGGGATAATATTCTGTAGATCTTGTAAAAAAAAAATCTACTGCTTGTCATTTTACACCATGTGATCATGTGATAAACATTAACATCATTGTCATCATCATCTTTTGTGAAAGTATTCACTGTGGACACACAAAAGGTGAGACACTTATATATATACATAGATTGAATATTGATAATAATTCTTCCCAAATACCGCCTTCAATATCTATGTCTATTTGTTTTACAATAGATATATAAGGGTATTCACATATGATTCACTTGTCTTTTATCTATCATTCATACATACATACATACAATGTAAACAAAACATGATCAAATAATGAATGTCTTTGATTCTTTATTAACTAATCACCATATACACTTGGTATTGTTTGTTTGAATCTTCCCATCAAATATGTGTATAAATGTGTGAAAACAAATTTAACACCTCTTTTGTAATATTATTACAATAATAATAATAATATAAAGAAAAGGATAAGACATTGTTTTGTTATAAGGGTAAATAAGATCCACATTAGATCATGTTTATTGAAACCGTTATGAACATAACTTTCTTGTGTTTTTTTTTGTTTTTCTTTCTTTTGAAGTTAAATATTGTAGGGTTGAATCAGGGGTGGGGTACTTTTGTTTTCATCTACCGATAAACATTTACAATATGTGACTCTTTTTATGATTGTCAAAATGAATCTATTTTTTTCTTTCTTTTCATTTTCTTACTAAACTTACCGTCTTAGTGATTGTTATAAACATGATTGAATCAAATGTATTCTATTTATGATATATACACATATCAACCTAAACCTCAATATATGTCATTTAACTGTCAATTAATGATCAATTTGTGTATATTATGACCTCTTTCATGTTCTATAGACAATTAAATACTGATATTTATTATAAAGATATTGAAGATGAAATCATTGTAACTTTGAATTCTATATATTTTCCGTTGATTGAATCATGTATAAGAATTATACCACATACCTAAGAGTCTGATATTTTTCATAGTAGAAAGCATGAGTCAATTGAAGCTAGACCACCATGGAAAACCTGGAAACACTGGACGGCCGTTTCGTCCTTTTATGAGACTCGTCATTTCTTTATATAACTAAAATGGATTAGTTAAGGAGTGTATGATATAAATAAAGACTTTGTTAATAAGTTCGATTGTATGAGGATGAAATGATAGAGAGATTAAAATATGGTTAGTAACAATTAAGAGTTGAAAAATTTAAATCAATGGATAAACTTCATACTTTGACTAGGATTATTATCTTGGGAATAAAAACATTTTCACAGTTAGAATTCACTTGGTAATGTTTGTTTAAATCTTCCCATTCATGTTTAGAACTGAAATTGATCGGTCTCTTATTGGTATATACGCACACTGTGTGTATTGCCTCGATATAGCCTTAATTTACAAGCATTATAAGCAAAGATGGCTGGTGGCTAGCAGTGGAATCCAGGACGCGCGTTTCGTCCTAGAGTAAATATCAACACTGAGACGCAGGTACATTGAGCTGACGAGTCTCAAATAGGACGAAACGCGCGTCCTGGATTCCATTGCTAGCCACTGTCCGTCTTTGCTTATTTTTACAGTTAGTTAGTAGATTTTTGTGAATTATGGTTTCAGTATTATTGTTTTTTAGCTTCGATTAATCTCGAAAATATGCTTTGTTACTATCTCAACTAGGCATTCATTTAAAATTCTATCTTCATTAAACAGGTTCATTTCTTACAAAGTATTATTCAAATAAATCAAACAGTAAACTGAAATACGCAACCTGATTTATGGACAATATGTTGGCGTAGTATTACATTACGTTACCGAAATAATCGTCATCTACTCAATTTACTAACATTAGTTACGGTTATAATCATATTAATAATCTTGTCGGCGGGACTATAATTTATAGACGAACCAATCAGGCAAAAGATAACAGATCCTGCATTTTGGCGCGAAATTAATTAATCCAATTGGCTAAATAAAATTTCAGCATTATAACTGATGTCAGTTCGTGATGAAAACTCTAAATCTTGTTCCTAACCCTAACTGTCAACTGTAAATCATAGTTCTAATTCCTCATACAGACTTATAATCTTCATTTGGTCTTAGTTATTAGGCGGGTACTCTCAAGATCACTTTAGGGTCGCTGAAAGGTTGTCTATATATTATAGACTTATCATCTTTTCTTCTTTAGTTAAAAAAATTATTTTCATCTAATTATGTAATATTATCACAAGTAATTTTTCTCTATCCTACCATGAAAAATAAAGTTTGTTTTCTGAACACATGGTTAAAATAGTACTCACATAATGTTAACTACTGTCTAGAGTCATTAAATTGTCTTATACTGATAGGAATCATTAATTTATTGATTGTCGATTGATCAATTAAAGTCCAAACGATCAGTTTCTTTTTCGAACTCATAATATAACAAATTACTTTGGTTTATGTAATACAGGCGTTCCGGTGTTTTTATCGCTTTAGTCAGCAAAATGTCCTGTATCTAAGTTTTTGTAGGTTGGGACACATCAGGAAGGCATTTCTGGAGGGTTTAAGGGAATAATAGGTACGAAATAGCATTTAACAGGGATCCGAGGATTTCCTCAGACTACAGAGACGACATCACCAGTAATAGAAACCATTTAAACTGGGTACTAGACATCTGCTTAGTCCTAGTGTGAGATTCATCATCTATGTTCATCCACAACCCCATGACCAAGAATTGAATGTAGTCTTGAGCGCTAACGCTTAACCTTCGGATTATCAAGTCCGGATTCAATAGTGTACATGCCTAACTTCAATCAATCCACAGTACTAACGGACGATCTCCTATTGTATTTGGTGGATAACTGTCTCACAATAGACACGGTTAAACTTCAGTTTTCATGACTTTTCATCAGGAAAGTGAATTTCCTCCTAGAGCTAGTCATCAATAAACACATGATAACTCTCAATATGAGTTTGTGGAGATTGTTAAATTTTGCTGAAATCACGAACCTAACGAATAACATTTTTATCGATTTCGTGACATGTAATCCATAATTTAAAAAATTGAATTTCTGTGTGATACTTAGTTAATCTATAACTCGTAAGAATAATCTGTAAATAAAGTGTACAGTAATCCAATTGAATAAGAAAATATAGAATCCTATAACTGAACCCATCAGTTTTAAAGGTAATATATAATTTTTTAGTGAACCCAACTATTTTAAATTCATCTTGAATACAAACAATAAATATGTACAATTGATCAATCTGTTAGGATGAAATAGCTATCTATCTTTGCTTCCAACTATTAACAGATTTTTGAAGGTATTACTAACAAACTAATTTAAATACATGGTTATATTATGTAACTACTAACCTTTTCATCACGAACTGACATCAGTTATAATGCTGAAACTTTATTTACAATTAGAACTTGAATAAGTTCAGTCCAATCACAATAGTATCATAATAATATTCATATGCTAAGGATAAGAATAGTTTGGTTATCACTAAGAAGGGCTTGACATGCATAATATTGGTCCATATTCAGTAATCAATCAATTAGAAATACATTACGGTCCTACAGTAGGTTAGTCACAGTTCAAATAACTCATTGTTAACGTCACTGATTGTGAAGCCGGATGACATGGAATTTAGATCAATCAGGAAACATCAGTTCCCTTAAGATTGCACGTATAATCTACTGATGATTGCTAATTAACATGGAAACTAGAGTGGGGTTTCTTCTCAACAACCTCCAACTACCAGCTTAGTATTAACATCAATATACAAATAATAATGGGAAAAGTCAAACAAATTTTCAATGTTAGGTTTGTTTGTTTGACTGTTTTAGATTAATAGTTGAGATCATGAGTCAACAACATAATCTTGATGAAATGTCTGAGAATTGGTTTCAGTAGTGTATATACATCCACTAGTTGTTTTATTTTAGATTCTGAGTTTCAAAATTATCTTACTCCTTTATTTCACAAATTCTTTCTTTATTCTTCAAAGATACTGTCTATACTTTATTCATTTTTTCTACTGCCTCTAGTGCTGTTACTACTTATATTATTATGGGACTTATCTCCAATATCTCATGAACATGTCATATCTATTTTACCACTGAAAGATGTTTCTGAACGCTGACTAACTAAGCCATACTAATATAACATATTAGTAGATAACTTCCTGATATTTGAATACAATGTCTATAATAACCAACAACAATAAAAATAAAAAACCAATCCATAACTTATGAACAAGATGAAGCAGTTCACGTGGTATTGTTTACTTGAATCTTCCCATTCATGTTTAGGACTGTAATTAATCAGTATCTTATTGACATAAGTGTATCCTGTGCGTATTGCTTCGATATAGCCTTACTTCACAAGTATTCTAAACAAAGATGCCTGGTGGCTAGCAGAAGAACTCAGAACCCGTGTTTCGTCCTATTTCAGACTTTTCAGACGGATGTACCTGAAACTTCACCTGATTGCACAAGCAAGTGGCTATCAGGATTCCACTGCTAACCACCATCCTTCTATGCTTGTAAAGAGAAGGGATATTAGAAGTTATTTGGTTTGA